CCCAATATAACGATTCGAAGCCTATTGTCAACAGCGACAGGGACCAAAATTTCCATTTGGATGATCTGAAATCGGGACCACTTCTTCTGGAAAACCCGGCAAGATACGAAAGCACTAGCAAATTAGCGAACAGCATAGCAGAACTGAACAGACAGCTTTCTGAAACCTACAACGATCCTCCTTTGGCAAGTTCAGCTATGGAAAAGGGTATTCTTCCCTTTGGGACCCGCCAGGAGGAAAATACTATAAACGATGTTATTGGAAGTAACAGGGTGGCTGGAAGAAGATGTGGAGACTTGACTTCGGCACCTATTCAACCTGATATTCAGGGACAATCTTACGGAAGATACGAAGACTATAAATCTAACGACAATTCAGCTTACGAAAATTTTTCCCGAAACGAAGCGATACAGTACCCTAGGGAAGTTACTGAAACCAAGCCCTCTACTGAAAATAACTTCGAACCAAGCAGAAGATATGAAAACACGACTTTTTCAGCCCCTCAGCCCCCTACTCTAAGCCAACCGAGCCGGAATTATGAAGATGATTTAAAAGCTATCAGTAATGGAACTTTCTTCCGGAATGATTCGCTTCAGTCTCCTGGAGAAGGTGGCTCCAGGTTGCTTATGGAAAAAGTTGAGCCTAATTCCGAACCGAGCAATAATTCACAAAATTTGAGTTCCTTAGCCGCTTATCCTGAAGGTCAGGGCCAACCGAGTCGAAATTATGAAGTTGATTTTAAAGCTATCAATAATGGAACATTCTTCCGGAACGATTCGCTTCAGTCTCCTGAGGAAAATTCCCGAATACCTTCGTATAAGGCAGCTACCCTCCCTTCTGAACATAACTTTAGCAACACGAGCAACTCGTCCAAAGTTGAAAATATAATTCGTCACTACAGTGGTCCCTTCACCAACGAAATCGGACCTACCAGAGCTGTTCCTGGTAGATTTGGGGAATTTCCGTCAACAAATAGACCTTTTGGTCCAACGACATATCCTAAAAGATATGAAGAATACGAACCAGCTAGAACTCCAGCAGAAGTTGAAAGCCATCCCAGCGAAAGATATGAAGATATCAAATCAACGAATAATGTGATTGAAGAAAGGAAATATCCTATGGAAAGCGAAAATCGGTAAGTAGATCTTGACTTAAGTGTGATTATATTTTTTCTCTTTTGGTCTCGTCAGAGCAGCCCAAATTGTCACTTACTGCGTAAAGTGAAAAAATGGGTTTTTACTAGCTTACGAATGAATTTTGGTGGGTGGTTGGATTTTCTTTCTGATATATAGACCAGTAAATTCCCTTGGAAATATCCTACCTGCCATGAAAAATGGCATTAGGTTAGTGCCAAATTGATGCATGTTTTTCTAGGCCTTTTTTCAGGACAGTCTTTCTCCATCAAATTTTGCTTTTCAAAACAGATATCGCATAGCATTCGAATCTTTTCCAGCAGTGGCTAAGGCAGGCTTCTAAATATCAAA